TTTGCCATGATTCCACAGTAATAGTCACTTGAAGAATGTTGATGCAGCAGAGTCAGCCACTTCCTGACCGCTACACTCAAAAACAGCTTGCAGCTTCGTTAAGTGGCTGTTATTATTACAAGTGGAATTCTGGAGGTGGATGCCAGTGTCTGCTCCCAGTGACCCATCCTGGTGCAGCTAACAGAACCCTGGTGGCGGGGCAGGGCTCCCCTGGCTCTGCACAGCACCTCTTCTTTCCAGAAAGCACTCACAGCCCATCTCACGGGGCTTTCTTCTTTCAGTCCTTTCAGGGGAGCCAGGGACGCGCCTACCTCTTCAATTCCGTGTGAGTATCCTGGCTCAGCCTGGGGGGGTGGCACAGGCCCTGGAACGGCCCGGATGGCACCTACAGAGTGCCCTGTGTAGAATCACCTGGGTCTTTCCGGGTCCTGAAAGCACCCACTGTCCCCCACCTGGGAGTTTCTGAAAGCTCGCTAATGATGGAAAGCCTGTTCCATCATTCTTTCCCAGTGGCGGGCAGGGCTGGGGGAGGTGCGGTGCTGCTCCCTGGCCAGTTCCCTGTTTTGGAGGAACTCCTAGGGGGACAGAGCAGGGCCTGCTGAGGTGGGGGGCCGGGGGTGGGGCCTGGCCAGGGGCGGGCCGGGCCTCCAGCGCGGTGGCCCCTCTGTCCCTGCAGGGTGAACGTGGGCTGCGGCCCCGCAGAAGAGAGGGTCCTTCTCACTGGGCTGCACGCAGTTGCCGACATCTACTGCGAGAACTGCAAGACCACGCTTGGGTGGAAATATGTGAGTGCCGCCGGCTCTAAGGGACATTTGTGCCACATGGGGACGTACCACTGTCCTAAAATCTCTCTTCCAGGCTCCACTGGCTGACCTTCGTGATTGAGTCCTCCCCTCCCCCAGGCCACCTCAGACTCCGTGGTTTTGACACTCTGGCTATCTGGTAGATGTTCCCATCCCCCTTCTTTTTTTGAGATGGTCTCCAAGTCCTACCTCAAGTGTCTCAGCCTCCCAAAGCGCCTGGCCCGCCTGCCTTTTTTGAAGGAGGCTTTCCCATTCTGGCTCTGGTCTTCGGATCCAGGCCACCTGCTCTCCCTCTTTCCTGAACTTCTGATCATCTCTGGTCTCCCATATTCCTTGTGAGCTGTGGAAGACCACAGTTCGTACCATGGAAACAGGCTCCATGAGATGGGCATGCATCCCAGCACTTCCCCATGGTCAGCCCCATACCCGTCTGTGGGCCCCACTTCCAGAAACCCCTGCCTTCCCTGCATGGCCACCACACTGCATTCCCTGCCACTGCTGCACCCAGTGCTTCCTGCTGGCACAGGCCCTCCTGTGTCTGCCACACCTGGGGCTGCCACTTGGGTAGGCAGGACCTATCTTTGTCATCTGTGTCCCTAGCACCAGGCCACACACTCAAGCATAACAAAATGAGGAGGATGTGTTTGTGGGAGAGAGAACTCCTCCCCATGAAGGGCCTTCTCCAGATACCCTGGGTTTTTTGAGACAGGGTCTTGGTCAATCTCAGCTCATTGCAGCTTCAGCCTTCTGGGCTCAAGTGGTCCTCCTACCTCAGCCTCCCAAGTAGCTGGACAATTGGCACACCACACTTAGCTAATTTTTTGATTTTTTTTTTTTTTGTAGAAGAAAAACTATGTTGTGTAGGCTTGTCCCAAACTCCTGGACTCAAGCAATCCTCCTGTCCTGGCCTCCCAAAGTGCTGGGATTACAGGTGTGCACCACTGTGCCCAGGCCCCAGATGTCGTTGGCTCTCCCTGTACTTGCCTTCACTCTAGTTACGCACGGAATTCCTGGAGTGTAGTCCTCTGCATATTAAATGACCCCACAGGTAGTAAATGTCTAGTAAACAGATCTGCACTCACACTGTCCTACAAGTAATCCCAGCACTTTGGGAGGCTGAGGAGGAATCACTTGAGCGCCGGAGGTCAAGGCTGCAGTGAGCTATGACCCCACACCACTGCACTCCAGCCTGGGCGACAGAGACCCTATCTCAAAACAGAGGAACAGAAAACCTTTTAGCATATGTGCTGCCCAAGCAAGCACAGGAAAACCTTTTAACAACAAATGCAAAGTAACCCTACACTGCCTCAAGGGACTTCTCACCCGGTCACCCTCCCGGCAGCTGGCGCTGGGTGAGTGAAGGCTCACGGAACATCTGGGTGTAGTTATTAGTACAGACTTGGGTTTTGTTGTTGTTTTGTTTTTTTTTTGCCACAGAGTGATGAAATTGAAAAGTGAAAACTTCTGTCTTGAAACCTTTGTCTCTTGTTTTTCAAGGAGCATGCCTTTGAGAGCAGTCAGAAATACAAGGAAGGAAAATTCATCATTGAGCTTGCTCACATGATCAAAGACAATGGTTGGGAGTAAAGTGAGGACTTCCTTCTCCTTCGAATGCTATTTTGTGAAAGAAACTGAATGTAATGGAAACTTAGGAGCATGTGACAGCCTTTCTTGCCCTCTGACCTCAAAGGCTAGCTGCGCACAGCTGTTGACACTCAGCCATTTCTGTGGGTAAGGTGTCCCATCTAATCTGTTCTCTTCGTGTACATGGTTGTTTCTGAAAATTTTCAATGAGCTTTTTTCAAGTTCTAGAGAAAGAATTAACCAACTGATGACTTACCCGCCTAGTTAATACCTTCCTTTTACCTTTGTCTTCAATATAGTTGGGATCTGCTTTTTTTAGGTTCAGGAAACCAAACCAAGTCTTTGAAGACCATAGTGGGGACAGGGTCTCTCTAGATACCAAGTCTTACCTTTCCCTTTTTTAGAGAAAAGGTATTGTAGCCTACCCTCCACCCTGCTTTTTTTCTTAAATTCACAGAACTTCAAAGTGGCTATTCCTCTTGCAAATGAATTGTTAAAGTACAGTGTTCATTTAATTCCAGAGGCCAGCACTGACATTTTAGATACACTATAGAGAAATGTGTCTAGTGGAACATCTTGTTAATTTATGCCAATAGATTCCTTATCTAGAAAGCAGGTGAGCTAGTTCTTAGAGAGGGCTGTCCCAGGGGCCTGCAGAGGTGCCGTTACTGAGGGGACAGCCTCACAGGGTCTGGTACAGGGAGTTGCGCCCTCAGCGGTGAAGCAGCTTAGGTATCAGGCAGTTACTGAGTGGCTGGTCCACTGGACCGAGTAAAAGTCACATTTAATTTTCTACCCTGGATGTACTTGAAGAAAAAGAATTATTTTTGCATATGAAAGAGTCCAGAACCCACAGGAGAAACTTCAAAACTTGAGATTTGCCAAAATGTTTTAAAATTCGCTCAGAAAAGGTTAAAATGACAAGTTTAGCCTTCGTGCATGCAGACGGCTGGCCTGCCTGGTGCTGTCCCATGTCACATGAACTGACAGAGGGGCCTGTGGAATCTCCTAAGGCCTGTGTTTCTGCCACACATTTTATTATAAATTCCAGTCCATCCATCCACCTGCCCTCCACCGGGAGTGGGCATCCCATCAAGGGTTTAGGCCACCTTGCAGAGGATGGAGGCCAAAAGCTACTCCCAGATTAAGTTTGGTTTTCAACATTTAGTAACTTGTCTCAGAGCAGAGGGCAGGCAGGGGGCTGGGGAGGGCAGAGCAGCAGCAGCTAGGAGAGCACTGAGCCTGGATATTTCTCAACCTGGCAAGTGGCTCTGAAGCTGCCTTCAGACAAGCTAGTCTAGGGGCAAGAGTGTCAGTGGTAGACAAGAACCTCCTGCCCAGCTTCACACCTCCCTGGACTGCAGCCCCTCCTAAACCCAGACCTGTGTGTGGCCCGGGCAGGCACGGGACTGTGCCCACTCAAGTTCACTGCTCATATAGAGCATGCCTTTGGGTACTATCTATCTCTTTGCCCAAGCCTCAAAGCCTTGGAATGTGGGAAATGCCACTGCCCTGGTGGGCACAGCACTGAGATGTGTCAACTCAGCAGGAGCGAGAGGCAGTTCCTTTAAAGCACATCTTCCATTTAGGAAGGTAATCCTTGTACTATCTCGTAAGCCTCCACAGCCAGCTGTGGCCATGCAAGCTGCTTTCTCCCTGCGGTAGCCTCCCCTGCGTGTTTAGGCTGGCCCAGCACATACCCGTCCTCCTGAGCTCACGTGCAGCCACTCAGAACATGGGAGTCACTGCAGGCTGCCGGGCTATCACTGCCATGGTCTCAAGCCTTGAAGAGGCTCCACCCATGAGCTGGCACGTGAAGTTAGCAACACCTGTGGCTTCAGTCCAATTGTTTTGAGACTGTGAAGAGACTAAAAGACACCTTCCCAGCTGGAGGAAGGCATTCACTGAAAACATAGCTTAAACTGACCCTCCCCTTCAAGTCTTCATTCCTTTCCCACATGGGAACCCAGCCTCAGATGCCTCGGGGACTAGGGGAAACAGTTGGGGGGCTCATGCCAGTGTGAGGACATCAAGGAAGGTCCTGAGCGACTCAAGATGCTTCACTTAAATTGAAGAATCTTCTAAAACTCTTCCGACCGATTTTTGTATATACTAAAATTCTATTTAAAGCTTTTCTATGTTTTGGGCGAGTTTACTGCTCCTTCTATTTGAGCACTTTGGTTTTTGTACTGTCTTATGTGATGGCACTGATTGATTGAACGTTTTTTACTGGTAGTCTTATGACTGTTTTTTTTTTGTAATTTATACCAACAAAACTTTTATCACTTTTGTTGGTCTTCTGCAAAATATAAGCTCCTTTCTAAACCAAATGAACTGACTATGAGCTGGCTTCAGGGGAAGTGCTATTCATAAGACCATATCCAACACCCTCTAAATTCTTAAACAATAGTGTCTGGGACTTGTATTTAAATTATTTAAAATCTTCCTTGAGAACAGGGAGGTGATGTCAGGGCTATAAATGCATTTAAATGAAACACTAGTGTGATGGCACAGTGCAGTTGCTTTAGGAATGTGGTTCAGTGTTTTATACACAGTATTTTTATACTGTAATGCTTATTCTTTATGGTATCTGTCAGATATTAGAATCAGAAATAAGAATCTTCCCCAAATCCTTTAATTTACCTGATGCCCTCATCAGGTCGTTACAAAATCCAAGTGGTTTTAATATCTAGAAAACTACAAATTAAGCTCTAAAACAAACTACAGAAATGTAAACCCTCACTTGCCCAAAGGTCCTTGGAGGCCTATCCTCTGCCCCCGGGTCAGACAGCCCTGAAGCCCTTCCTGCATTTGCAGACCACTGGTGAGGCTGGAAGATCACCCATGGCAGCTTCACAGAGCAAAACTGCCGAGCCCAAGCATGGGGCCTTCAGCCTGCTCTGTCCTCTGGCCGCACTGCCAGCCCTTGGTCATTATCTGTGTGAGGTTTACAAATAAAGCTTCTGATGTCAAATGTTAAAATTGTCCCTTCAGTGGATGAGGCCATGACCTGATTCAGAAGGCTGAGCTCAGGCTCTCTGTGGCGCCACCGAGAGCAGAGGGCTGTCTTGGGGTCATGGAGCTCTGGAGCCAAGGGCGGCCTGGTCCTACTTCTCTGCCCCCACCATCATGGGGATTTGAGTGTGGCCAGAGAATAGAGTCAGGGCCAGCTAGGGTGTTGGGTCCTTTCAAACCTCCTTCTCCCTCCCTGTTCAGGCCTTCACCACCCCACCCCACCCCCACCCCGCTCCCTCACACACATACCTCGGGCACTGGCTCAGAGGCCTACAGGTATGTAGACCCGTGGGTGGTCACTGTCCTACTGCACCTCTCCTGTGCAGGCCCAATTTGGTGTCTGAGTCTCTTACAAGCGAGTTACTACCAGGCTGGACCAGGCCTCACTGAGGGCAGTGCCTGGTGGGAGGCACAGCGGGCATCAGAAGTCACTAGAGCCCAGTCACAGGCAGGGGTAAGCGGCTGGAGAGGCGGCGGAGTGAGCCGGGTTGTAGTCTTTGTTCTCAGCACGATGAAAGGCCAGGGGCTGGTGTGCAGCAGGGTGACAAGGAGCAGACAAGCCTCCAGCAGTCATCGAACAGCCTATGGCAGTGGACAGGGAGGCAGATGAGGTGCCATCTGACATCCAGGGAGACAAAGGACTCAGCCCTACAGCTTCAGCATCAGTGATGAGAAAAGGAATGGCAGAGGTACAGGTATATGGGGTGATGAAAATGAGGAAACCAAGAACAAGGCTTAAGTTAGGACTTAGTGTTAAGATCTAGACGGGGGCGGTGGCCTCAGGACAACAAAGAACCGAAGAGGCAAGCGTCAGGTGAGGAGCACCCCTGACGTCAGAGAACACTTACACAGGCTGAAGATGGAAGAAAAAGCCAGCCAGGGGCACATTTAACAGAAAAATGGGGGTCAAAGGAGGGGTCTTTCAGTAGGAGATGCTAATACAGCCGGCCCAAGGCCCTCAGAGTCTGTGACAGGAGAAGAGTCATGGAGCCCAATGTCCGGTCCTGAGGGCAGCTTCAAGGCCCCCTTCTCAGTGGGAGGGCGGGGAGAGGATCAGCCACTTGTTCTTGTGGCTGTAGACACTGGCCTCAACCAGTATGGGTCCCTCAAGATTCTGACGGGGCAGAGAGAAGCCAGGCAGTCTTGGGATGAAGGCCAGGTGCTATGTGGCCAGAGCAGGTGCCTCGGGCCCCAAGAGCAGGAAAGGTGTTTAAAAGTAACATCAATGGTGCAATCCAGCACCGGCCATCAAGAGCCCCTAAGGTTTTGTTAAAAGAGACTGAGGAGTCCACCCTGCAGAGGCTTAGGCTCAGAAGGCCCGGGGTCTGAAAATTTGTCCCAGGTGATGGTGTTAGTCAGGGGACCACATTCTTTGTATAAATAGGCAGTCCCTGAGATGACAGAAGAAGGGGTAAGAAAACCAGAGTTATAGCTGGGTGTAGTGATGCACACTTGTAGTCCTAGCTACTTGGGAGGGTGAGGCAGGAGGATCACTTGAGCCCAGGAGGTCAAGGCTGCAGTGAGCCATGATCATACCACTGCACTACAGCCTTGGCAACAGAGCAAGACCCTGTCTTCAAGAGGAAAACAATCTGGAGGGACAGTCCTTTCTCACTAACCTGGCCTGCCTACTGGAGGCCTGGGGGTGCCAGCCTGTGTGCAGGGAAGGCCTTGTGCCTGGAGGTCCCAGTAGTGGCTCTGCCTGGGCCAGGTCCTGGAAATAGGGCCACGCCCCTTGGCAACAGGTGGAGGGATGGGGTGTCTGTGGCCTCCCAGGGGCAAGGAAAGGGGATGCAGGCAGCAGGTACAAGCTTTATTGGATGGCAACAGGGCAGCAAGAAGGCTAGAAACAGATGTGGACACAAACCCCAGCCCTGCAACCCACCAAGGTCCACAGTGACCAACCTGCTACTACCAGGAGCTAAAGTCCCCAAAACCCCGACTGGGCTGCTTCTTGGAAGTGGGGACAGTAGCACTGGTTGAGGGCTCTTCCTCTGCCGCTCGCTTCCTGGGAAGAGAAGCAGCTGCTGAGAGACCACGCCCTTCCTCGGCCCCTGCTTGACCCGTCTGTCTCCACACAGCCCTCCCAACTGCTGCTCCCACGTCCCCCTGAATGCAATCGCTTCCACCTGCTAAGGCCCTGACCAGGCCTTCGGAGGCCACACAGCACAAGCCCACACCTGTGGCTTTCCTGCCCCTCTGAGTCTGACCCCCAGACCTCAGTCAGCCTTAGGAAGCATCATGGAAAACAGGACATCCCTGTGGCACTCACTTGGCTGCTGGATTGATGTACTTGCCCACGCCCTGGCGGAAGGTCTGGGGGCCCTGGCTCCCTGCCTGAGGCTGGCTGCTCTTCACTTTGGTCTCCGGGACAGCCTCGAGCTGCGTCTTCCGCTCCTGGGCAATCTGTAGCAGAACAGGGCAGTGGCTAACCCGCAGCACCTCAGGTAGGGCAGATGCTAGGCTTGGGGCGGGAAGGTGCACTGGCCCAGACCCTCCTAGGTGGTGGCATTGTGCCCCCTCACCTGGGCATCGGCCTCCTCGTAGGGGTCCACAAACACCGTAGTGGTGTCGATTCGGATCTCCTCCTAGCAGCAGAGAGGGCTCAGTGTGCGGCAGGTCCTCCCCCAGCCTGCCTGGCCCCTAGCCACTGTGCCCCACCTCCCTGGGCACAGACCTTAGGACGGTCAGTTTTGGGGTCACTCTCCACATTCTCCATGGCCGTCAGTACATCAAAGCCCCCAACAACCCTGTAGCAGGGAGACAGAGGCAGGTCTGCGTGTGCTCAGGGAGGACACCCCCACAGCTGAGTCCCCAAGGTATGAGGGAAGAGGGGCTGAGAGCATGCCCAGGACGATGGGGCCCTCCCGGAGGCTGGCCTGTCAGTCCTCGGGCAGCAGCCAGGAAGGCAGGGAAAGAGAGTGGCAAGGGTGGGGTTAGCAGAACATGGCCCTGGGCAAATCCACTTGGGTTTTTTCTGTTTTCTTTGGTTCCCCCTAACCCCCAGGAAACATAGGAGTCACAAAACATGGCTTGTGCTTTCCCTACTGGTTTGGTAAACAGTTCTACTTGGCCAGAACTCTACATGCCACCTGTGTCTATCCTGTCTATTTTGTGCTGCTTCCACACAACTGGGTGGGTGTCAGAGACCACGCGGCCCACAACGCTGGAGAGACCACTGGACTAGAGGGTGAAGGGAGCCAGGCATGGCCAGACTCGGGAGTGGTGCGCCGTCAGTTCTGAGACAGGGCAGCAGGCAGGCCATGCAGGGGCAAGTTTCCTCCTCTCCTGAGCCTGGTGAGTCTGGAGAGCCAGACTTCTCTGGCCCATGGAGCACCCCCAGTCCCAGCTCTGCATAGCCTCAACCCACTGCATAGCAGTGACAGCCAGCATGGCACATGGCTCAGGTCTGTTGAGGCGGCCTCAGACGGGGAAGAAACCCACCTACCCCACTGATTCCCCAGGCTTCACACAGCCACTTCCCTTACCGTCCAAAGATGGTGTGCTTCTTGTCCAGGTAGGCACAAGAGCGAAATGTGATGAAGCTGAGGAGGAAGGCAGGAAGGTTAGGGAGAAGGCGGCAGCTTCTGCCACTGGCCTGCCTGGGAGCACACCAGGAGCTGCCTGCCCTCTACAGCCAGCTCTGGAAACCTGCAGTTTCCATGGATACACGTGTGCACGTGGCTCCCGACTGTTCCTCACTGGGGCAGGTCATTAGCCCCCAAGGCTGCCTAGAGGACCCTGGACTTCAACTGTCCCCAGGTCCTCCTGCTGCCCCAGCTGCTGCCCACTGTCCATCAGGTAGTCCCTGTGCCCCGAGCGAGCCTGGCCATGCAGCTCTGTGGGAGGTGGCTTGAATGAGGGGACACCTGGAAAACCAGAGCCAGCCCCATGCCATCAGGGACCTGTCGGACTGAGGACTCTGACCAGGAGAAAGGAGGCAATGAAGACCCGAGCACTTTCTTGGTCCATGTTTGTTTATGTCACGTTAAGAAACGTGAATGACATAAACAAACATGGACCAAGAAAGTGCTCGGGTCGGCCGGGCACAGTGGCTCACGCCTGTAATCCCAGCACTTTGGGAGGCCGAGGCAGGTGGATCACTTGAAGCCAGGAGTTTGAGACCAGCTTAGCCAACATCGTGAAACCCTCTATTAAAAATACAAAACTTAGCTGGGTGTGATGGCCTGTGCCTGTAGTCCCAGCTACTTAGGAGGCTGAGATAAGAGAACTGCTTGAACCTGGGAGGCAGAGTTGGCAGTGAGCTGAGATGGCACCACTGCACTCCAGCCTTGGCAACAGAGCAAGTCTGTCTCAAAAAAGAAGAAAATGGGGTGGAATGAAAACACCCAAAAGCACTGCGATAAGAACAGGACAGAGTTTCTGCCAGTCTGGTCTGGGAGGAATGCAGAGATTGTATCTCATAACTATGGACTTTAAATAGAAGTCCTTCTAAACCTTAGACCAGAAGTAAAACATCTAACTTCCAAACCAGGAGGAAGAGAAGAGAAGCAAATGAAAGGAAATATTAAAAAAGTAACTAGAAAGCAGCAAGATCATAGAATATGACAGATCACCTGAAGAATTAAGTCCACACTTAAGACTGTCAGGGTTAATCGCAGCACTTTTGCAGGCTGAGGCGGGCAGATCACCAGAAGCCAGGAGTTTGAGATCAACCCGGCCTACATGATGAAACCCTGTCTCTACTAAAAATATAAAAATTAGCCGGGTGTGGTGGCGGGCGGCTACAATCCCAGCTACTTGAGAGGTTGAAGCAGGAGAACTGCTTGAACCTGTGAGGCAGACATTACAATGACCCAAGATCTTGCCACTGCACTCCAGCCTGGGTGACAGAGTGAGACTCCATCTCAAAGAAAAAAAAAAAAAAAAGACTGTGGGGATGAATGAGAACTCGACAGATCCCCCTAGCTATGAGCCTTCAAAAGAGCCGGAGAGGCTGAAAGAAAAATATATTTAAAAAAAAAAAAGAAAAATGATGGAAGACACTGGGTGGGTCCTGGCGCTGACCACACAGAGTACTCCCCAGGGTGGTGCAGGCTGGCACAGCCCACAGAGACTCCGCTAGTGACAGACACAGGAATTAATCCCACTGCATCGAACATGCACTCCCCAGCCACACAGGGACATGCTCCTGAGCCCACCAAATCTGACCACACCTAGAGCCACCAGACAAGTGTCTGCAGACATCACACCCACAGCAGTGCAGACCTGAGCTCTGACCTGCAAATGGTTCTCTCGCTCACTGATTTCTAACAGTAAAGGAAACTAGAAGCAGAATTAAACTCAGGAGGGAAAAAAAGAACCACCCGGAGGCAAGCTCCTCCAGGAAAATCTTTAATTGCAAGAATCATGAAAGGGAAAGCAAAGCTGTAACAGAAATTAAAATCTAATGGTCTTTGAATATAGTAAACAGGCAAACCTTTGGCAACAGTTGTCCAAGAAAGCACAAAATAATACTAGAAATAAGAAGAGAAGGCCGGGCGTGGTGGTTGATGCCTGTAATCCCAGTACTCTGGGAGGCCGAGGCAGGTGGATCACCTGAGGTCAGGAGTTCCAGACCAGCCTGGCCAACATGGTGAAAGCCTGTCTCTATTAAAAATTCAAAAACTTAGCCAGGCATTGTGGCGAGCACCTGTGATCCCAGCTACTCAGGAGGCTGAGGCAGGAGAATCGCTTGAACCTGGGAGGCAGAGGTTACATTGAGTCAAGATCGCACCATTGCACTCCAGCCTGGGTAACCAGAGTGAAACTCCATCTCAAAAAAAAAAAAAAAAAAAAAGAAGAGAAGGTGGCGACTGATGTGTCAGTAGTTTCACTCACTGGCTAGTTAAGCCAAAGAGAAATAAAAAATAATGAAATGACTCCCCAACCCCAGCCCCTGCCAAACAACAAAAACCAACCTACTTGAAAATAACCAACAGTCCTAAGCAATCCTTGGCTAAAAAGAAATTGAAAGGGAAGCTTGCAACAACCAGCAAGAGCTGTGAAGAGGAAACATTCACCCTCAAAATGACAGATGGGGCCATCAGAACCAGACATGGATTAAAGTGGAGAAGGAAGTAAAGCACCATGAAGAAGCAAAGACAAACTGAAAATAATGACACAGGAAGTGAAAACAGACAAACCCTTCAAAGATCATTAAGGGATTGAGGAATGGAAGGTGTGATTAGGAATGAGAAATAAAAGGTGAGCATAGAGAGGCCAAGAGAACACCAGACTTCGTGGAAACAAGTGCCCCTTAACCCTGAAACAAAAGCCCGAGGAAGTGGCATAAATGGCTGCCAGCTGCCTTTGGCCGGCTGTTAACCACAGCTGACTCCAGTGTGATTTTTTTTCCCCCATACAGGGTGTCTCACTGCAGACTGACTTCCCTGGTTCAGATGATCCCCCCACCTCACCCTGCCAAGTAGCTGGAACTATAGGTGCACGCCACCACGCCCTGCTAATTTTTAAAATTTTTTGTAGAGATGGGGTTTTGCCATGTTGCCCAGGCTAGTCTTGAATTCCTGGGCTCAGGCAATCCACCTACTTCAGCCTCCCCAAGGGCTGGGATTACAGGTGTGACCCACCACGCCCAGCCACCCCTGTGATTTTAACCTTTCCAGACCACAAAGCCAGAGCCAGCCCTGCTCACAACATGTAGGGGCCACACCTGTCACAGCAAAACCTGCTGGAGTCAATCCATACAACGGAGACCACGTATGACAGGGCAGAAGGCCACAGGGAAGCCATGACAGGATCATCGTAACAGATGCTAAGAAAGAAGACACTAGAAAGTAAGTCAGCCACCCTCCTAAAAAATAGCCCAACAACAAATGAAGGCACGATAGCGATTCCTGTAGAGCACAGCAGGACACCCACTTCCTCCTCCCCATCAGGCCCATGGTGACAGTGGCATGACTAGTGTGCACCCCAACGAAGCAGAGAGGAGGCCAGCTTTTGCTGATAAGTGTGAATATCTAGAAACCCAAAAAACTCTTTATCAAATTCCCTTATAATTCAGATAGCTTTTATTAAGTGGCTAGATATAAAATGAATGGTAGTTTTACATGAGCAGTGATCCCCAAAAGTTGGGGGGAAAAAATCCACTTACAGAAGTATCACAAATCATACAAAATCCTTAAGTCACCGTATGCCAGAAGTCATGGGACCCATGTGAGAAACAATGAGATCTCATTAAAAGACTGAAACATATCTAGAGGGAAAGTCAGGCCACTGTTTTAGGTGGCAGGTGGATGGAAAGGGGCCCTCTGTTCTTCCACAATACATGCGTCTGGCCCCTGCACACACGGCCCTGTGGTCCCCCCGTCCCCTGCTGCCTGCCACCAGCCTGCACAATGCTGCCCACATGCACAAGGGCCAGGCACTCCCCAGACCTCCTGTGTCTGTCCAGCTGCCTCTCCCTGTCCAGCCTGTGTACAACCCCTCCCACATGCTGCTCTAGGACACTGACCTCCCCCAGCACCGCCTGGCCACAGGCACCATATGCACCCTCAGTCTCTTATCAAGAGGCCCTTCTGGACCTCCAGTAATTAATCACCTCTGGTCTCTCAGGGGCACACCCAGCTGTGGGCAGCTCTCCCTCTGACTCACTCTGGGGTCCCCCTTTTGAATGCAGTTACGCGTGTTTGGCCTAGGGGTGCTGTACACTGTCTGGGTTTGATTCAGAACCAGCATACCCTTCAGGGAGCGCTATGAGGAAGCACCCGCAGGGAGCACCAGGTCACCTCCCCGGCCACCCCAGTCAGCCCCAGTCAGCCCCAGTCAGCCCGGCCAACTCACAATTGAGACTTGTTGCTGTTGGGTCCTGAGTTGGCCATGCTGAGGATGCCACGGCCCGTGTGCGAGAGGTTGGGCCGGAACTCATCTTTGAAGGGCTTCCCCCAGTACGACTCCCCGCCTGGAAGAGAAAGACCCACAGGAACAGGAAGGCCTGGGCCCCAGCCAAGGCAGAACCAGAAACCTCAGAGTCCCAAGGGGCATCAGGGCCTTGCTGAGCCCAACCTGGGGCATAGGCACTTGATAAGGTGGTCCCCAGCCCCACATCACCAACTCCTGGGCCCCTTGGAGCCCCCATGCCTCCACACAGGCAGGCTGCTGCCCACTCACCCCAGGTGAGTGGGTCCTGCCCCAGGACAGGGATTAAAGGGTCAAGGCCACCATCCTCATCACTCGAGCTATGGGAGTACGGAGATGGGAGGGCCTGGGCCCAAGCAGCTGCAGGCTGAGGAGCTTCAAGAGGCTGCAGGTGGAAGGCCTGGCCTCCAGGGGCCCAGAGAGGATGCCACACATGCCTGCATCCTCTACTATGCAGGCCTCACAGCCACCCGGAAATGAGAAAGCCAAGAGCCAGTCCTGAGAGGGCACAACACTGATGGCTGCCAGTCGTTCCACCCTGGTCTAGCGGATTCCACAGCCCAGCTACCCCCTCATGCCCCAAGGAGCAGCCAACGTGCCCAAAGAGGGGCCCAGCACCAGTACCTACCTGTGCCTGTGCCTGTGGGGTCACCCCCTTGGATCTGTGAGAACAAAAACCAATGTGCAAGTCACACCTCGAGACCTAAGCCCACCACCTGCCCAACCAAAGGAGATCCCTCCTGCCAGATGGCTCCTCACAGGGCCTGGGCTCCTGACAAGGACGAGGGGCCCTCCCAGCCACCTCCCTGTATGAACCCAGTTCTGGATGGGCTGGAGTCTGGAGAGACAGCCTGTGCATTCCCCAACAGAGGATCACCGACTGACCACACTGTGGTCTCAGGGCCCTGGGTCAGGGCAGGGACAAGCCTACCCAGACCCTGATGTCCCACCAAGCACATCTGTGCAGCCAGTGACTCGCGTCACTCACCACGAAGTTCCGGATGGATCTGTGGAAGATGGTGCCATCGTAATAATGCTTTTTGCAAAGCCTGATGAAGTTTTCGCAGGTTTTTGGTGTCTGCAACATAGTCCCGATGCATGTATGAAGCAGAGAGCGGCCAAAGGCAGCTCACCACAGCCACAGGAGGCCCTTTTTTTTTTTTTTTGAGAGGGAGTCTTGCTTTGTCACCAGGCTGGAGTGCAGTAGTGTGATCTCGGCTCACTGCAACTTCTACCTCCCAGGTTCATGTGATTCTCCTGCCTCAGCCTCCCACTCTAGCCAGGACTACAGGCTTGCGCCACCAGGCCTAGTTAATTTTTGCATTTTTAGTAGACAGGCTTTTACCATGTTGGCCAGACTAGTCTCGAACTCCTAAGCTCAAGTGATCCACATACGTTGACCTCCTAAAGTGCTGGGATTACAGGCATGAGCCACCGTGCCCAGCCAGGACGCCTTTAACATCCAGCAGTCAGCTGCCCAGCCACACCGGGCAAGGATGGACCCACAACACCAAGCAGCAGAACCTGCGCAGCCGCATGGCCCAGAGCAGAGCGCACGGGAGAAGTGCAGGCAGAGCAGCGGGTGTGGCCTGGTCCCTTCTCTGGGACACTGGCACCTGTGCACAGGGCAACACAGCCCCCTAGGAAGGACACAGGGCACCGCTGTGGGTCCCGCCTAGTGACAGGCTGAGTTTTTTTTACAAGCACATACCAGTGGCAGCCCTATATTGAAGACATGGCTGTCAAATGACCCCAGAAATGACCTCGGGACACGGGGAGGGAGCGGGCCACCACACCCACCAGGTCACAGTGCAGCTCCAGGTTGAGATCGCCCCTGTTGGTGTGCAACCGCACATAGCCCTTCTTCCTCACAAACTGGTAGCGGAGCACGTCCTCGTCAATGGCAGCTACAAGCAGAGGTCCCAGCTCAGCCCCTGCCCTCGCCCTGGGGGCGCCCCACGGTGCCAGGTAACACGGGCCAAAGACACAGAGGCATCTGGCCAAGGACTAGGTTCCAGCTCTGGAAAGAGCACGGGAGCCAGAGGCCAAAGTCTTCTGCTCGGGCCATGCACAGGCTCACCCCAGCCTCATGGGCCTGACAGGGGCTCAGCAGCTAAGAGGGGGAGGACTGGAGACTCAGGTGTCCATGGGAGCCCCTGACAGGCCAAAAGAGTGGGAATCAGGGGAGGGCACCCACCCCCTGCCACTGTCAGGTCACATGGCAGGTGTCTGCAGAGGCAAAGGTGGTTACCTGCTTCGTGTGTGGTCTCTGGAACCATTGCAGTGGAGGTAAAGGAAGCGCTGACCTTCCCTGTGGAATAGTGGGCCTGCCAAGGAAACCAGGGTGGCACCTCAGCAGTGCCATGGGAGGCTGATGGGCAAAAATGTGGTGCCTGCCTAGAAGCCAACCACACCCCACCCCTGACCCCCAGGCCCTGCTCAGTGCTTCTCCTCCAGCAGGGCCTCCCTGACTGGCGGGAGGAAGGAGGACAGGCCGAGCCAGGGGCCCCTGGCCTCAACCGGGTCCCGACTCAGGACGTTAAGTAAAACCCTGTAGATAAAATACCACACAGGACCTCAGGGTTAGGAGTGTATGAGTGAGTTCTCATTTCTTTTTTTTATGAGATAATGTCTTGCTGTGTACCCAGGCTGTAGTGCTGGGGTGTGATCCTGGCGCACTGCAGCCTCCAAATCCTGGGCTCAAGTGACCCCCCCCCACACCTCAGCCTCCTGAGTAACTGGGACGACAGGTGTGTGCCACCATGCCTGGCTGATTTTTGGGGGTTTTTTGTAGAGGTAAGGTCTCACTATGTTGTCCAAGCTAGTCTCGAACTCCTGGCCTCAAGCAATCCTCCTGCATCAGCCTCCCAAAATACTGGGATTGCAGGCCTGAGCCACCATGCCTGGACTCACTTCTTTACTTATTTATTAACTTATTAATTTTTGAGACGGAGTTTCACTCTTGTTGCCCAGGCTAGAGTGCAATGGTGCCATCTCTGCTCACAGCAACCTCTGCCTCCCAGGTTTAAGCGACTCTCCTGCCTCAGCCTCCAGAGTAGCTGGGATTACAGACATGTGCCACCACGCCCTGCTAATTTTGTATTTTCCGTAGGGACAGGGTTTCTCCATGTTGGTCAGGCTGGTCTTAAAACTCCCAACCTCAGGTGACCCACCCACCTCGGCCTCCCAAAGTGCTAGGATTACAAGCATGAGCTTGTACCCGGCCTGGCCTAACTTCTTTTTAAAAGTCTCAAACTTTCTGAAGTAAACACATTACATATTTAATCAGGGGTGGGGGGGTAAAGTCCCAATAAATGTTGTTTTTTTATCACAGAGGAAGAAAAAGGGGTTTCTTTCATCAGAAGAAAATATAAGCCAGGCACAGTGGCTCACATCTATAATCCCAGCGCTTTGGGAGGCCCAGGCAGGAGGATCTCAGGTGAAGCTGGAATTCAAGACCAGCTAGGCAACACAGCCAGATCCTGTCTCGGAAAAAAAAAAAAAAGGTAATATGCCAAAGCGCTAAGGGCAGTGTGTTAGAGGGGGTGATCACAGACAACAAACTTTCTTTTTCAAATTTTTCCAGAATTTGAACAATGCTTTAAGGAGAACTTCAGAGCCACCTGCCCATGTCTCTGCACTCACTAGCTCCAGATCCCCACACTCTGCCTGAACAGGAGCAAGAGGCAAACATGACAGCCCCATTCAGGAAGCACTGTGAGGTCCCAGGCATGCCGTCCCCCTCAGGACCGCAGCAGTCCCTGAAATGCACCAACTGTCCCTGGAATGGCTTTGGGCCCCAGTGCACATTGGGCCCTGCCCTCCCAGCCACCACAGAACCACATGTCCACTCAACGTGCCTGCTCTGGCTGCTGAGCTCAGACTGGGACCACAGCACAAGGCAGACCTTCTGTGACGGGGGTCTCCTCCCGTGTGCCCCCACACACCCCTTGGTTCTTCAATGCCCAGTATGGCCGTCAGCCTCTCCCCTTCCGCCTTCTCAGATTCAATCTTCCTTGGGGCAGCCCCGGGGCTGTACGCTCAGTGCCATCAGGGGTACCACAGCTCTGGGGGGATCCTGGCTGCCTCCCTGCCATTTACCCCAGGGCCCCATGAGCCCCGTTCCCAGGACCACTCCAAGAGGCCATGAGACGAGCAGGGAGACAAGGGATTGGCCGAGTGCCCTGTGCCACTCACAGCATTCAACTTGTCCACTTTCTTCTTCTCTGGGACCTTCATGGTGGCTGCCAGAATCTCATCCCCTTTGAACTCCTTATAGAGCTCCTGCAGGGTCTCTCGGGTCTCGGCATTTGTGTTTTTCAGATAATAAGATGGGTCCTGTTTGGCCTTCTCCTCATCTACAAAACAGTGGCATGGCCCTGAGCAGCCGAGCCCTCAGCAGCCTCCCAACATGCGTCTGCTGCGGACACAGATCCAGAACAGTCCAGGGCTTGCCAGCCACAGCATAGGCCCCAAGCTACTGTCAGCCACAGAATGCCAAGGTGCCAGCTACAGGTCTGAGGGTCTCCCCACACAGGTCACAAGGGTCTCAGGATGTACTTAAGGCTGATTTAAAGTTTCCTTTTTATATTTATCTGTATATTCTAATATTTTTAGAGTATATGCTTCGCTTTTTTTGTTTTTTGAGACAGGGTCTGGCTCTGTTGCCCTGGCTGGAATGCAGTTACACGATCTCAGCTCACTGCGGCCTCCATCTCCTGGGCTCAAGTGATTCCCCTGCCTCAGCCCCCCACCAAGTAGCTGAGGCTACAGGCCTGTGCCAACCACACCCAGCTACTTTTTCTATTTTTTGTAGAGACAGAGTTTCCCTATGTTGCCCAGGCTGGTCTCAAAATCTTGAGCTCAAGCAATCCACCAGCTTTGGCCTCCCAAAGTGCTGGGATTACAGGCCTGAGCCATAGTGCCCAGCTGCTTTGCTTCTGTAATTTTTTTTTTTTTTTTTTTAGACGGAGTTTCTCTCTTGTTACCCAGGCTGGAGTGCAATGGCACGATCTCGGTTCACCACAACCTCTGCCTCCTGGGTTCAGGCAATTCTCCTGCCTCAGCCTCCTGAGTAGCTGGGATTACAGGCACATACCACCATGCCCAGCTAATTTTTTTTATTTTTAGTAGAGACGGGGTTTCACCATGTTGACCAGGATGGTCTCGATCTCTTGACCTCGTGATCCACCCGCCTCGGCCTCCCAAAGTTCTGGGATTACAGGCTTGAGCCACCGCGCCCGGCCCTGTAATTTTAAAAGTTATTTTGGGGCCGGGCACAGTGGCTCATGCCAGTATTCCCAGCACTTTGGGAGGTTGAGGCAGGTGGATCACCAGGTCAGGAGATCTAAACCAGCATGGCTAACACAGTGAAACCCTGTCTCTACTAAAAATACAAAAAAAGAGCCAGGTCTGGTGGCATCTGCCTGTAGTCCCAGCTACTTGGGAGGGTAAGGCAGGAGAATCATTTGAACCCGGGAGGCAGAGGTTGCAGTGTGCCAAGATTGCACCACTGCACTCCAGCCTGGGCTACAGAGCAAGACTCCGTCTCAAAAATAAAAGGTATTTTTAATTAAAACAACAGAAATGTTTGTGGGTCTTTTCAGATGTGAAATGCCCCATTCTTGCCCACTCAAGAGGGTGCCTCCTGCCTACTGGGCCTTGGACAGCAGCCTGCTCTGTGGAGAGGGTCAGGCATTCCTGTCCAGAGAATACAGGCCCAGCCCAGCCCCAAACCCTGGCCTCAGACTCTTCTGACTCAATCTCCCCCAGTCATGTGCTCAGCCTCCCTAAAACCCAGTTCACACAACTCTTGTCAAGTACCCAGGCCACTGCTCTGCAGCACGAGGCCAAGTGACCTCTGAGCATGAGTCCTGCTGGCTCCTCCGAGGTTACAGGACAGCCACCAGTGGCTAGGAAAACAGGAGGACCCTGTCACCCCACCACCTGCCCACTGAAGGCACCAGACAGTGCAGAAAGCAGGGGAACCTGCGCAGGCATCCTGGCAGGGCAGCAAGTCTATCCCACATGTTGTTTCTGAGGCTGCAGTTGACTCGGATTCTCTGAACACTGGCTTAGAAAATGCAGGATTTATCTGGGCTGGAACCCCTGACTCCCAGGAAGCTGGGGGCTTTGCCCAGGGAACACTGTCCCAATTTCCCCCAAATGCCTCCTCACCTAGCCCAGCCCCTGGTTGTACATACCTGGGTCTATTATTTTCATGTTATTCTTAACATGATAGAAGTTAGAGACATTGAACTTGTCCAAGTTGGTGGGGTCCTGTGGCAAAGAGAGAACACCCAGCAGAGTGAACCCAGCCTGCGGCCAAATGGCAGCCACATGTAGCAAAGGACGGGCAGGTGTCAGAGGTAGGGGGAGTCAAGCAGGGCATGGGGGAGGATGGTGGTCTGCCCCAGGCAGGGCAATAAGCAGGAGCAGGGACAGGGGCATAGCCTTGCTAGGTGCTGGCCGAGCTGCGACCTTCCTCCAGGCACACTCTAACGAGCTGTTGGTCACTGTTAGGAAGCTACTGGATAGGAACATGGGCAGCCATGGGGCTGACGTCTGGTTAGAATGGGACAAGCCACAGAGGTGACCGACTGAGCAGGCTGCCCCAGGCCGCACTCTAGCCATCACCTGCTTTTTTCTAAGTCGTGTTTTTCATTAATTCACTTGGGGTTCTCTGATATCTGCAGGGAGGTCTGTGCCAGACACCGAGGCCCATAGCTCACCACGGTTCCAGCCCTCAAGGCACTGGAACAGAACCAGGCCAGCAGAATGGCCATTCAGATGCCTCAGGTAGCTTTGGGGACAGGTATGAGGGGCCCTGACATGGGGGTCGGGGATCAGGGAGATGTGAGAGCCAGGCTACGGAGGTGGCCCCTGCAGAGGCCTGGGCTGGCTGTGGACACTGAAGGCAGCTGGGGCAGGTGGGCAGGGGACACTCACCTGGAGGGTGATGATGTCCTGCCGGGAGAAGGGCTCATCGCTTAGCAGGTCCCGGAAGTTCTTGGCCTTGATATTTAGCTGTTCCACTGCCTACAGCCAGGAAGAAGTGGTGTTACGATGCATGCCCCAAGCCTTGGCACAGGAGCCTGCGAGCAGGGAGGCCCAGAACTGGCACCATGACACCATTTGAGAGGCGAGGAACGAGAGAGACAGCAGTGTTCACCCCACTGATTGAAAGCAGTGGCCCCCACAAAGGCGGAGCTGGCTGGGCATCAGACGATGTGCCAGTTCAGCCTTGCAGCAACCTTCCTGCAGGAAGCTCTTGTCTACATATTGATCAGCAAAGTGGCTGGGCGAGCCACCCACCCACTCGCTGAAGCCTTCACTGACTACTTCCCATGCACAGGCATGGTGCCAGGCCTGTGGGCAGGGGCTGTGCACATGAGATGCCTGCACTCCTGGGGCCCAGTATAGCAGAGTCCTCAATCCACTACGAGGACCAACCATGCCAGTCTATGTAGGCTTCTGGCAAGAAGTAGCCCCTAAGGTCCCTGGAGCAGCGCTGGCCACCTATACTCCACCAATGTCCTGGTGCAGGACTGAAAATGGCACAAAGGTCGGGGCTTTCCTGCCACATAGGGCCTGTCCCGCCTCACCCCTGAGAGGAGGACCCATGTGTGAACATGGCTGCCTCCTCTCTTCCTACACCCACTCCCAGACAGAACTCCTCCAGGGGACAGCTCCTTCCTGGACACAACTGGCTCCATCGAGAGCCAGGGCCAGCACTCCTCTCACACCGTTCTCAGAGCACGGTGCCTTCCCAGCACCTAGGTTTTGCTGAAGATGCAGAAGGACCCCCTGCGAGATAAGGGTCCCTGCTTGCCAGCCAGGACTGCCTGATTCCAAAGGATGCAGCTCCCCCAACCCTATTCTTGACCTGCCTGAAATCGGGGAGGCTGTCATGCCAGAGCTTTGGCAGAGGCCGGTGCCTGTGGCTGTGACTGTAAACCCCACAAAGACAGGCCATGCCCGCAGCACAGCCCAGCCCATGTATCCTGGGAACACACAGCAGAGATCTCCCCACCGTGGTCTCCAGGCCCTGGAGCAAGGACACACCTCGTAGGCGTAGACGTTGCCGGTCGTCCTCACAGCCACGATGTGGGTGTTGTTGGTGAACACGGTGAACAGCACTGGGCAGTGGTACTTCCCTAGAGAGAAGGCACACACGGGGAGGCCAGTCACCTCTGTGGGCACTTGGGGCCAGGACAAGTCAGGACAGAACGCGGCCAAAGTTAGCGATGGGAGGAGGTGGAACCCCGTCAACTGCCAGAGTAGGGAACCAAGGGGACAGCTGCTTAGCCCCTCAAGCCCCTCCATATCATTAGGAAACTCCTATTCATCCCGCAAGGCCCAGTCCCTGCAGCATCTTCCTCACATCCTCCAGCACACCTCTGCTGACCGCCATGCTAGTCTCCTCCTCTTCTTGAAGTTGGCCCTCAGCAAGAAACAACCCATGCTCCAGTCCTGACGGCTCCACCTCTTACCCGCATTCCCCGCCAACCCCCTGCTCAGATCTTCCTTCAGAACTGCCCATCCCCTTGCCCGGCTACTGTCTCTTTTTTTGTTTTGTTCAGTTTTGAGATGGAGTCTTGCTGTGTCACCTAGGTTAGAGTACAGTGGCGTGATCTCAGGTCACTGCAACCTTTGCCTCCGGGGTTTAAGTGATTCTCCTGCCTCAGACTCCCAAGTAGCTGGGACCACAGGCATGCATGCGTCACCACGTATGGCTAATTTTTGTATTTTTAGTAGAGACAGGGTTTCACCATGTTGGCCAGACTGGTCCGGAACTCCTGACCTCAAGCCATCTGCCTACCTTAGCCTCCCAAGCCTTGGTTACTGTCTCTCTGCCTGTTAAGTCCCCACTGGGTGGGGACTTGAGCCCTTAGGGAGACCTCATCTCTACAAAAATGAAAATAAAAAAAATTAGCTGGGGCGGGGCACAGTGGCTCATGCCTATAATGCCAGGGAAGGTATGTCTGTGCCCAGGCAGGAGTCTGCGGCAGGGGCTGGAGTCTGTGATGGGCACAGGGGAGGCACATCACACTTCCTCTCTCCACTTTCATCCACGAAGAATAATTCCAATTAACAAAGAAACAAAGCAGACTGGCCTGTAATCCCAGCATTTGGGAGGCTGAGGTGAGTTGATTGCTTGAACCCAGGAGTAAACTTGGCCAACAGTAAAACCCTGTCTCTACAAAAAACACAAAAATTAGCTGGGTGCAGTGGTGGTGCCTGTAGTCCCAGCTACTTGGGAGGCTGAGGTGGGAGGATTTCTTGAGCCAAGGAGGCAGAGATTGCAGTGGGCTGAGACTGTACCACTGCATTCCAGCTTGGGTGACCGAGTGAGACCCCATTTCAAAAAAAAAAAAAAAAAGGAAACAAAAGAAAAGAAGCTAATTGCCATGTCAAAGTTTAAAAAAAAAAAAGCCAGACCTCACCCCTCCCTCAGTGGCTCCCATCTTGGGCAGAAGCCCAAGTCCTCCTGTGGCTCCCAGGGCCCACAGGACTGCTCTGCACCTGTCCCTGCCCCAACCTGTCACCACATCCCCTGCTTTCATCATTAGCACATGCTGTACCAGACATACTGGACTCCTGGCTGGGCACAGACACCCTCAAGCATGTGCCCACCTCGGGGTCTTTGCACTGGCTGTGCCATCGGCCCAGCCCTGCGCTCCCCTGAGCCTCTCATGGCTCTCCCTCCCTGAAGTGTGTCAGGGCGGCCCTCTCCTTGCTGTGCTCTCCACACGGAAGCAGCCTCTGGCATACCCTGCTGAGCTGCTCTCTGGCGTTCTTCCCCACCAGAACACATGCTCCTCTCAGCAAAGACTCAGCCTGTTGTGCTCTCTGCACATGGCAGGCACTCAATAAATATTTGCTGAATGAGAGACATACACTGCTGATCACAGACAGGGAGGCAGCCCACCTTCGGCCACCAGGGTGCAGCTCCCTGTCCTCCACCTTTGTCAATGACATGCTGAAGTTCACTCACTCATTTACCTGCGAACGCAGCATCAGCTAGGAACCGGGCTCTAGGCTCAGACAAGTGGGGCAAAAGGGCCATGGCCTCACATGCTACAGCATCTCCCTGGAATGCATGCACCCAGTGAGCATGGACAACCCCTAAATCATGGGATCTGCAAGGGCAGAAGACCTGTGCTAGAACCTAGGACAAGGTCAGCACCTGGGCAGGGGTGAGCTGTGTACCTCATTTAAGAATCTGACCACAAGAGCAGCGCAACGTGTGTAAGGGACATGAAGCAGGAGCTGCTGAGCTGGGCTGGGCTGGGCTAGGCCCTATGAGCTGTAGTGAGGAAACGCCCAGCCTGAGAGCTACCCGACAAATCCCTCCAGACCACCACATTCCCTCCCCAGCTGCTGCCCTAGTTCCCAGTGCAGAGCAACTTCTGCCTCCAAACAGACCACAGCCTCAGCCAGAGGAGGCCCATGCCCTGCAACTCCGACTATGCCCACAAAGGCCACTGGCAGCTCATGACGGCCCAATCACCTTTGTGGAAAGTTCCCAACACCCAAGATTCTGCCCCCTCCCATCTCCAGCCTAAAACTACCCAGATCTTTGAGAAGAAATCCTGTGACACTTTTTGAGGACTAAAAGCAGGTATCCAGCTTGGTCAGAAAGGAATGACTGATTCCATATGAGACCTGGTGAGAGCCAGGAGCCTGGGTCGTCGGCAAGCCAAGCCTAGAGTTGGCCCCAACGGTTCCACTCACCTTCACTGTTCTTGGCAAAGTTCAGCTTGATCAGGGACCTCCCGTCCAGTTTCTGGAAGAAGCAGAGTTAATAATGATAATGAATACGTGACTGATGCACAGAGATACTGGGGTCAAACAGAGATGGGCTGAAAAGGTCTCTGACCAGCCAACTCTGGGCAGCTCTGGACAAAAGGGAAGGCCCCAAGCCCCTGCAAGGACCTCATGTGGGCTGCAGGATGGCATCAGGCGGTTGTGTTTATGTGGCACCCCCACCATTCTCTGTGAAGAGCCATCACGGGTGATTCCGAGCTGAGACCAGGCCGCTGGGTGGTGGTATATTTCTGCAGGGTTTGGACATTTTTATGGTGAGCACAGATTACTTCTAAAATTAAAAAATGAACAAATTTCCCCAGGCGCAGTGGCTCATGCCTATAATCCCAGCACTTTGGGAAGCTGAGGCAGGCAGATCACAAAGTCAAGAGATTGAGACCATCTTGACCAACATGGTGAAACTCCATCTGTAGGAAATACACAAAACGTAGCTGAGCATGGTGGCAGGTGCCTGTAGTCCCAGCTACCAGGGAGACTGAGACAGGAGAATCGCTTGAACCCAAGAGGCGGAGATTGCAGTGAGTCGAGATCACGCCACTGCCCTCCAGCCGGGCAACAGAGTGAGAGTCTGTCTCAAAAAAAAAAAGGTATTTCTTCAGCTAGTGGGGCAACACACGGGTCTGCCTTATTATTCTGTTATGTGAATATTTAAGGAAAAAAAAACATTAAAAGTGGGGAGAAAGGGAAGAAATGCACCCCAACGCTACGAGTGGTTGTGTTGGGACGGTGGGACCCTCTATTTTTCTGTTTCTGGATGTTTTTTCTTTTTTCTTATTTCCCCCACTTCTGGTGGCGTGTCTGCAGTTCAGCTCTTCTACAGGAAACTTTCCCATAAAACAAAGTCTGGACAATCAGAGGCGGGAACTGCTGGGGGCGGGGCTGTCAGAGCTATGTGCTGCTGGGGAGCACCTCACTGGGGGCCACATCCCAGCAGCTGCTGCTAGCTGGTGTGGGCTGGGCCCAGCTCTGCCTACCCAGGACCAGGGGAGAGGCAGGAGGAGCCTCCTGGGCCTGGCCCTGAAACTGCAGCAGGCCCTCGTGCTGCCCTCCCCGCCCTCTGTGGGTCCTGCCTGCTGCTGGCCGGCCTAACTGACCACATCTGCTCCTCCACTGCCTTCATTCCTTCGTCATTTAACTACCCCCACCTTCCTACATCACTATAGGTAAGGAAGAGACCACCAGAGGGTCAACAGGGTCCCTATTCAGGCACAGGACCTGAGCAGGGACACCCCCCCACATACAAAACAGGCTCCTTCTGAGCCCCCAAAAGTCATATGGGCAAACCAGCCCTTGGCCCAGGGACTCTCCTCCAGAGGTTTGGCTAGCAAGGCTCTGCTGACGCCCATAGGTCTGTCCAAGCAAGCCCACAGCAAGACCCCTTCCAGAGCACGCCAGGGGAGAGGATAAGGACACATGGGGCACCCCTGCAAACTCACCCCAATATGACAACTGGAACAAAGAAATGGTGGCGCCTCACAGAATGGCTAACTGCCAGATCAGGCTTTGTGGTTGTGGGGCCCAGCACAATCGGCAAGTTTGTAAACCCCAAAGAGCACCTTTGAAGCAAAACACCCAAAGTAACGAAATGCACCCCAGCTGCAACTGAATAAACAACATCCACTGGGACAGCAGAGGCCATGAGTAGCTGGGGACAGGAAAACCCCACCTACCCCACCTCGTCACCAGGCTGCTCCCTGAGGCTGACACCCAGCCACACAGGGCATAGGCGGGCAGCAGGAACTCCTGCTGAGAAGAGACACAGAGGATGACTTCCCAGACTGGGGCACGGACCCTGGGGGAAGCCCCTGGAATCCAATGTGGTGTCAGCAGCAGATATCACAGAAACAGTCTTTTTTTTTTTTTTTTTTTTTTTTTGAGATGGAGTCTTGCACTTGCAGCCGCCCAGGCTGGAGTGCCGTGGCACAATCTCGGCTCACTGCAATCTCCGCCTTCTAGGTTCAAGCAATTCTCCTGCCTCAGCCTCCCGAGTAGCTGGGACTACAGGCATGCACCACCATGCTCAGCTAATTTTTTTGTATTTTTAGTAGAGACGGAGTTTCACCATTTTGGCCAGGATGGTCTCGATCTCCTGAACTTGAGATCTGCCTACCTTGGCCTCCCAAAGTGCTGGGATTACAGGCATGAACCACAGAACACAGTCTTTAAGTGATAAAGACCAAGGAAGAAGACTGCCCTCCCTAAGGTGAGGTCACAAGCCCCCACAAGCCCCCTACCTAAGCATCTGAAAGACAAAAGCCATAGGCTTTAGCAGCTGGTCCAAGGACACTCAAAATCAGTCCCCTGGCCAAGTTCCCTCATTTTCAAGAGCAGGAAAGCCTTGGAGGAGCGCTAACTCCATCTATAAAGAGTGCACAGAACCCTGCAGCCCCCAGAAAGTCACAAGGGTCAGAAGAGCTGAGACAGCACAGATGGGCTGCCAGCTTCTCCTGCTGGCCTGGCAGGGAGGGGTGTATTGTCCAGGGAACTCCCTCCCAGTGGATCCAGCACAGGGAACCTGCTGGAGTCCTGACCCTCCACCTCATTTGCACAGTTTGAGCTCTTGCCCCAGGCCACAGGAAAAAGGTGGAGGAATAAATGCAAGGAACTCCAACAGAAAGGGCAAGGTCACTGGTAAAATACACGAGCTCTCCCTCAAGACCAAGCCGAATAATGTCCCCCCAAAACTGATGCTCACTGGAACTGTGGCCTTACTTGGATACAAGGTCTCTGCAGATATAGTAAGATGAGGTCATACTGGATCACAGCTATGGCCTGAGAAAAGATATGCATATATATATATATATATGTGCACAGACAGGAAGCGTTTATGGAAAGGAATGGGTGTAGAGAGAGGAGGGGAAGACTGTTCCTCCTCACTGGGCCTCATGAAAACCACCAGAACAGGAGAGGTGAGAGGAAGGCGTTCACCACCATCACTGAAACTCCCGCACAGCCACCTACCTCTCCATTGCTGGGGTTGGTCCCATACTTCTTAAGCCAGGGAACAATGTTCCTGAAGGGAAGAGGGAACAGAAAGCATCACCAGGGTGCTTAGGCGCCACCTGGTAACAACACTAGAGTCTTGCAGGGCTATTCCAGGTTAGAGGCCTGTGAAGGAGTCTCACTTCACTTTAGGAGAGGAAGACTCCTCACCTTGTCTCAGGAAGTAGGGGGACATTTGTGGATACATGGGTTTCAAAATATGTTCAGAGTTACCATTGCAGTTATATATAAACAACAAAAACTACAGGTGAAAATGAGTAAGTAAATGATTTGGGGTTTTTTTTTCTTTGAAACAAGGTTTCGCCTTGTCATTCAGGCTGGAGTGCAGTGTTTCAGTCATGCCTCACTGAAGCTTCCAACCCATGGGCTCAAGTGATCTTCTCACCTCAGCTTCCCAAGTAGCTGGGACTACAGGTTCATGCCCCCATGGCTGGCATAGTTCTCACTGTGTTGCCCAGACTGTTCTCAGACTCCTGGGGTTCAAGAGCTGCTCCTGCTCAGCCTTCCAAATTGCTAGGACTACAGACAAGAGCCATCACTCCGTGTCACAAATGTTGATACATCTGTAAAATGAAATGCTAAGCTAGCATCAAAAATTACACTTCCAAGCCAGGCATGGTGCTGTGTACCTGAAATCTCAGCTACTTAGGAGGCTGAGGTGGAAGGATTACTGCAGCCCAGGAATTCAAGACCAGCCTGGTCAACACAGTGAGACCCTGTCTCAAAAAAAAAGAAAAAGAAAAAGTATACTTTCAGAGAATTCTGAACCACACAGGGAAAAAAGCTCTCATCATAACAAAGTGAATAAATACATCCACAGTGTTGCTTGTTAACACTTCACCATGTTCACAGTGTTACTTCAATCATGTTACTACAAATAAGTTCACAACAAATTAATATATTTACAGTAGTTATCCTGGATAGTGGGACTGTGGTAAAATTTTCTAAAGTTAGGCTGAAATTTCCTAAAAATTCATTTTCAGGACAAGTGCAGTGACTCATGCCTATAATCCCAGCATTTTGGGAGGCCAAGGCAGGAGGAGCACTTGAGGCCAGGAGATCAAGACCAGACTGGGCAACATAGCAAGACCCCGCCTCTACTAAAAAGTTTAAAAATTAGGCTAGGTGTGGTGGCTCACGCCTGTAATCCCAACATTTTAGGAGTCCGTGGTAGGCTGATAGCGAGGTCAGGAGATTGAGACCATCCTGGCCAACATGGTGAAACCCTCTCTCTACTAAAAATACAAAAAAATTAGCTGGGTATGGTGGTGCATGTGTGTAGTCCCAGCTACTTGGGAGGCTGAGGCAGGAGAATTATTTCACCTACTCAGAAGGCTGACCTTGTGATCCGCCTGCCTCAGCCTCCCAAAGTGCTGGGATTACAGGCATGAGCCACCACACCTGGCCCGTATTTTTTTTTTTTTTTTAGTAGGGACAGGGTTTCACTATGTTGGTCAGGCTGGTCTCGAACTCCTGACCTCAAGTGATCCTCCCACCTCGGCCTCCCATCCTGCTGAGATTACAGGTTATGAGTCACCGCACCCAACCAACACATCTCTTAAAAAAAACTTTTGTTTTTAATTTTTCTAAAATAAGCCTGAAACAGAAAAATTATAGAAGTGTATGCTGGAATGCAAAACTGGGTATAATGCTTCTAAATACTACACTTAAAAGGTATACACCATAATTATAGTTCTGCTTTCATAAAGTGAAAACTATGCAGTTCATTACCATTCGAAAAGAGGTGTGTCTAATTAGAACATCAGGACCCCCACAAGGAAGGGTATAGGGTAGTGTACCCCATTCCAAGCAGTGAAAGCAGCACCTGCCAACCAGAGCTGCCTGCCTTGGGGTCATGGCCACACTGCTGCCATGTCCCCAAGGCCCTAGCTGTTACCTCTGTCCCCAAGAGGCCTACCCAAGGGTCCTAAGGCTGTTGGGACCAGGGGTCTGGCAACCTCAGTGCTACCTGACTTGGCACTGCCCGAGACCATAAACCCCTAAGCTGGCCCAACATCCCCTTCCTTAATGGGTGTTGAGAATCTCACATTTGTTAGATCAAAATTCAAGGAAAAACTCACAGCAAGTCAAAGACAACACCATCAGGAGTGCACACTGGGTAGACGAAAGGCTGCAGAGAGAGACTGAAAAAGAACAGAGTCATTCCTGGTCAGCTGTCCAGCACCCTGGTCAGGCTGTGGGCTGGCTGAGCCTGGCATGGGAACCTCCTGAGATGCTGTCCCAGGGAGCCCTCTCTGGGCAGCCTGGCCACTTCCCTCTCTCACCAACCTTCTCCTCCAACTGCAATAGTGGTGGTGACACCGCTGGTGAAGGACCAGAGCAGTATCCAACACCAAGGCAAGCTCCTGACATCATGACAAGACTCTGCGTTTTCTCCCAACGTGACCTGAAGGGCCACATCTTCAAGGCACACTTTTACTCATAACACCAGGCAGTTAAAAAGTGGGCAAGATGCAACTCAGACACCTGCTGGAAGAACTGGAACCAAGGATGGAAACACTTCTGCCACATCAATTCACACCCAAGTAAGACCACATTCCCATGAGGCTGATGACAAAACCTGGGCTGGGGACAGAAATCCTAGCCAGTGATACCTGGGCCTAATTTGTCCACTGATGAGTGGAAAAAAACCCCATCAGCCAATGTGTGGGAGCCTCCTGGGGGTCCCCCCAGGCCTTGCTATACGGTGCATGGTCCCCATGGCCCCTTTCTTACTGCAATGGTGTCTGGCTGACCTGCCTCAACTGGGGTGCCAGATCCCCAGGAGAACTTGTCAACTCTCAAGGCTCACCCTGACCTACAGAAGCAGAACTCGAGGCATAGAGGAGGATGATATGTAGACATACGGGTGTCCGGGGCAGATGTGACCACGGCTCAGGTTTGGGAAGACTCAGGCCTAAGGGGCCCACCAGATCTGTCCATTCCCCCAGTCTCCCTCACCCTGGGAGCAGCAAAATCCTGGGGTTCACCAGGGCTAGGCCCACTTCCCCAACAGGCCCCCTTCTGTTCACATGTATACCAATTTGGGCCAAAGCAGCATCTGAGTAGCTCTGCAACTGGGTCCCTACCCAGCCCTACCAGTCACCTGAGCTCACAGGTGAGGGAGAAAAGGCCTAGGCTGGGCACAGTGGCTCACACCTGTAATGCCAGCACTTTAGGAGGCCAAGGCAGGAGGATCACGAGGTCAAGAGCTCAAGAGCATCCAGGCCAACATGGTGAAATCCCATCTCTACTAAAAATACAAATATTAGCTGGGCATGGTGGCGCACACCTGTAGTCCCAGCTACTCAGGAGGCTAAGGCAGGAGAATCACTTGAACCTGGGAGGCGGTGGCTGCAGTGAGCCAAGATCACGCCACTGCACTCCAGCCTGGTAATAGAGTGAGACTCCATCTTAAAAGAAAAGAAAAGAACCTCACGGTCTCATCACTAGTGTGCTGCTGCTATGACTGCAGAGAACCTCGAGCAAGAGCAAAGCACTGGCCAGGCATGGTGGCTCATGCCTACAGTCCCAACACTTTGGGAGACTGAGGTGGGTGATTATCTGAGGTCAGAGTTGGAGACCAGCCTGGCCAATATGGTGTAAGCCCCATCTCTACTAAAAATACAAAAATTAGCCAGGTATGGTGGCACATGCCTAGAATCCCAGCTATTCAGGTGGCTGAGGCATGGGAATTGCTCAAATCCGGGAGGTGGAGATTACAGTGAGCCAAGATCACACCACTGCATGCCAGCCTAGGCAACCCTCTCTCAAAAAAAAAAAAAAAAAAAGGAAAAGGTAAAGTGTTAAAGGCATGGACCCACAGTCAGACCACTGAGTTCAAGACTCAGAGGCACCACTTCCTGCATGGCACACCTGGGCAAGGTACTTTGCTCTTCTAAACAATGGTTCTCCAACAATAAAACAGGCTTAACACCAGAGTCTACACACCCTGAAAGGTAAGAATGAGGTTAAAAAGATACAGGATGTAGTCAAGATGACTGAAAAGAAAAAAAAAAAGATATAGCATGTAAATACAGACACAATAAACAGAAAACGCCCACTAGCCGTCATCATGGGTGGGTTCTTCTCCCCATTCAGGGAGGATCCAAGTGGGGTCACAGATAGCATGTCATCTACATCCTCAGGGGGCAGATTCACTATCAGACAGTATCAGACAACAATTACAAGGAAGGGTAAACTCGCAAAACTCTTACCTGCAGTGGTCAAAAGGTAAACGACGAAAATTTGTTTGTGGGAGATCTGTTTAAAATGAAATAAAAAACAGAAATCTTACTCTGTGAAGTATTTCATCTATGTGCTCCTACTAACAATTCAGTTATGACTTATGAAAGAGTCGGTGCAAATTTTTGAGTACAGCAATTGCTGTGGATTAAAAACCTTTTAAGGCCGGGCACGGTGGCTCAAGCCTGTAATCCCAGCACTTTGGGAGGCCGAGGTGGGTGGATCACGAGGTCAAGAGATCGAGACCATCCTGGTCAAAATGGTAAAACCCCGTCTCTACTAAAAATACAAAAAATTAGCTGGACATGGTGGCGCGTGCCTAGAATCCCAGCTACTCAGGAGACTAAGGCAGGAGAATTGCCTGAACCCAGGAGGCAGAGGCTGCGGTGAGCTGAGATCGCGCCATTGCACTCCAGCCTGGGTAACAAGAGCAAAACTCCGTCTAAAAAAATAAATAAATAAAAATTTTTTTAAAAAAACCTTTTAATAGATATAAACCAAAACACTTGGGGTACATAAAAAAAAAAAATACAGGGGAAAGTTCATACTTTTTAACTCCCATTAAAATTATGACAGTGCTCTTTTTATTGTAGTCTTGATAGTTTTGATAATTAAAAATATTATCATTCTTGGTCGGGCGCGGTGGCTCACGCCTGTAATCCCAGCACTTTGGGAGGCCGAGGCGGGCAGATCACGAGGTCAAGAGATCGAGACCATCCTGGCCATGGTGAAACTTCGTCTCTACTAAAAATACAAAAATTAGCCGGGTGTGGTGGCACACGTCTGTGGTCCCAGCTACTCGGGAGGCTGAGGCGGAAGAATCGCTTGAACCCAGGCGGAGGTTGCAGTGAGCCGAGATTGCGCCACTGCACTCCAGCCTGGCGAAAGAGTAAGACTCTGTCTCAAAAAAATATATATATTATCATTCTTTTTATTCTTTATAAACTTGATAGAGAAAAAAACATCTAAATGTACATGTAATTCTTTTTTAATTTTTTTTTTTTTTTTTTTTTTGAGACAGTCTGGCTCTGTCACCAGGCGCCAGGCTGGAGTGCCATGGCCTGATCTCGGCTCACTGTAATCTCCGCCTCCCAGGTTCAAGAAATTCTGCCTCAGCCTCCCGAGGTGCTGAGACTACAGGCATGCATGAACCCCCACATCCAGCTAATTTTTGTATTTTTTTTTTTTTTTTTTTTTTTTTAGCAGAGATGGGGTTTCACCATTTGGCCAGGATGGTCTCGATCTCTTGACCTTGTGATCTGCCTGCCTCGGCCTCCCAAAGTGCTGGGATTACAGGCGTGAGCCACTGTGCCTAGCCTGTTTTTGTTTTTTTTTTAATTGTATTTTTTACTTAGCTCCCAGCATCAAGGAATATTTTAATCTACATTTAACAAAAATCCCCACTAAGATGCAGCATGTTCTTCTTTCCTGAATATATTTCTCTTTTGTGAGCTGTGTCCTCAACCCATTTGTGTACCATAGTTTCCATATTCTTGTTTATTTTTACAGCTCACTGTATCCTGAAGACATTGTTCCTTAACAGCACTCCCCCAAGGAAGAACAGAAAGAATGCATGTCTTACCTGGCTTCTTGCCACCATAAAAGTGCGTGTATTCAGCACAGGTAATGTACCTGAAAAAGAGAGGAAGATAATGCTACTACCACCACCTTTATAAAGAGGACAGAGTCACTGCAAGTGAGTAATCTTTTCTCATTTAGCAAATGCTTACTAAACACCTACTATGGGCCGGGCACGGTGGCTCACACTTGTAATTCCAACACTTTGGGAGCCCAAGGCAGGCGAATCACTTGAAGTCAAGAGTTCGAGACCACCTGGCCAACATAGTGAAACCCCTTCTCTACTAAAAATACAAAAATTAGCCAGGTGTGGTGGTGGTGGGCGCCTGTAATCCCAGCAACTCAGGAGGCTGAGGCAGGAGAATTGCTGGAGCCCATGAGGTGGAGACTGCAGTGAGCCAAGATCATGCCATTGCACTCCAGCCTGGGCAACAGAGCAAGACTCTATTTCAAAAAGCAAAAACAAAAAAACACCTACTATGTGTCAGGCACACAGTGATAAACACAACAGACAAAGGAGCCAGGCACAGTGGCTCACACCTATAATCCCAGCACTCTGGGAGGCCAGGGCAGAAGATTGCTTGAGTCCAGGAGTTGGATACTAGCTGGGGCAACAAAGCAAGAATCTGTCTCTACGAAAAATTTGAAAAATTAGCGGAGTGTGAAAGTTTGCATCTGTGGTCCCAGCTGCTCTGGAGGCTAAGGCAGGAAGGAAGGTTGAGGCTGCAGTGAGCTGTGAGAGTGTCACTGCGCTCCAACCTGGGGTACAGAGGGAGACCCTGCCTCAACCACAAACAAAAAAAAACACCATCTATAGAGGAGCAGTGGACGATGTGAGAAGCACTGAGCTCCAGAAAGGACCAGGAGGACAGGAAGTGGTAAGAGGTACCAAGGCCAACTCCCTGAAATCTGACCTGGGCAAGCTGAGTAACGGTGTGACCACTGAAATATGAAGGACAGGGAATGTTAAACTTCAAAAAAAATAAAAAAATCTGGCTGGGCACCATGGCTCACACCTGTAATCCCAGCACTTTGGGAGGCCGAGGCAGACAGATCATGAGGTCAGGAGATGGAGACTATCCTGGCAAACATGGTGAAACCCCATCTCTACTAAAAATACAAAAAATTAGCTGGGCATGGTGGCAACTGCCTCTAGTCCCAGCTACTCAGGAGACTGAGGCAGGATAATTGCCTGAACCCGGGAAGCAGAGATTGCAGTGAACCGAGATTGTGCCACTGCACTCCAGCCTGGGCAACAGAGTGAGACTTCGTCTCAAAAAAAAAAAATGAAAATAAATAAATAATCTATAAAGTTAGAAAGCAGACTTTATTTATTTATTTATTTATTTACTTTTTTTTTTTTTTGAGACGGAGTTGCGCTCTTGTTACCAGGCTGGAGTGCAATGGCATGATCTCGGCTCACCGCAACCTCCGCCTCCTGGGTTCAGGCAATTCTCCTGCCTCAGCCTCCCAAGTAGCTGGGATTACAGGTACGTGCCACTGTGCCCAGCTAATTTTTTGTATTTTTAGTAGAGACGGGGTTTCACCATGTTGACGAGGATGGTCTCAATCTCTTGACCTCGTGATCCACCCACCTCGGCCTCCCAAAGTGCTGGGATTACAGGCGTGAGCCACCGCGCCCGGCCCTGACTTTATTTCTTATAATGGGTTACAGCCTAAAGTGGCCATCCAGCAGGCTGGAAGCATGGCCTCCAGCTGAATCCCAGAGACAGGCACTTTGAAGTAGGAGGGACTGGAGTAGGAAGAGCCTTATGCTGAAGAAGTTAATCATAAATATTTAACAGGTTAAAGGATCTCTGAATATTCATAAAGATGGTCCTAACATAGGCATAATAAATAAACATATATGTAACCTATGACCCCTGTTCTCTTTAAGGTGGAGACTTAACATTTAAATGTATTGTAAGTAGGCCTTATCATCAAAAGATCTTTTAAAAATCTGAGAGCATACGAATGAGCAGCCTCTGTAAACTGGCCAGGGCCTGTCCATGGTCAGTTGTCTTATCAGGAGAAAGTTACAGAAATCAGTCTCTTGTCCAATCACAGCTGCAGTTATTTATTTATTTACTTCTTTTTTTTGAAACAGATTTTAGTTCTTGTTGACCAGGCTGGAGTGCAATGGCTCAATCTTGGCTCACTGAAACCTCTGCCTCCTAGGTTCAAGCAATTCTCCTGCCTCAGCCTCCCGAGCAACTGGGATTACAGGCATGTGCCACCACTTCCAGCTAATTTTTTGTATTTTTAGTAGAGACAGGTTTCTCCATGTTGGTCAGGCTGGTCTCGAACTCCCAACCTCAGGTGATCGTCCCGCCTTGGCCTCCCAAGTGCTGGGATTTCAGACATGAGCTACTGAGCCCAGACTAAAGCTGCAGTACGACTGATAGAACAGGGGTTCAATTAGTCCATGTCTGCTAGTGGACTACAACTGTTTTAATATTGCTTATGTGAAAACCAGTGCTTATTTAGCTGCTACAGAAAAAGAAAAATCTTGTGGCAGTTAGAATATAGTTTATTCTTTAAGTTCAGGAGTGGATAACTTAACCAGGGAAATTGTCTGGCACAATTGTCTGTGGGTTCTGTTTATAATTTGGTATCTTATTGCCAGAGTCTGTTTTGTCAATCTTATGATCTCTACTTCAACATTAATCCTGGTCAGCTGTGTCCAAGACACAAAAGGATACATCTGACCTCCATCCCATCATGGCCATAAACTCAGTTTTAAGGTTTTCCTGGGGTTCTCTTGGCCACAAGGGTGTCTGTTCAGCCAGTGGGGAGACTTAAGATTTTTAGTTTTTAGGGAGGAACAGGCTCAGGAGCTGAAAATCAAGAGCTCTGTTTAAGGCATATTAAATTTGAGACACCTGTTAGTCCTCCAGTGGCGATAATAAGAAAGTCGCTAACTACACAAGACTGGGGAAAGCAGCTTACAGATGACTGGGAAATTATATTACCCACAGGGAATGTTTATAGAAAAAAAAAACCTACGAGGTCTGGGAGAAGGGAGAAGAGTCCAGAAAGAAGACTGGGAAAAGAAAGGCCGCTGGAAAACAAAGAGCATGTGAAATCCCAGATACCAAAGAAGGGCTTCAGAAGGAGGGAGTGGTCAACGGTGTGACATACTGTTGAGAAGCCCAACAAAATGAGGACTGAGGACGGAATCCTAGATTTAGCAACAAGAAGTCGCTGGGAACATGACAAGAGGAGTTCTAGGGTTGAAACTCTGACTTAAATGGCTTCAAGAGACTCAGAAAACAGCACGAAGCCACGGGTCTCTCACTTGTTCCGAGAGAATCAAAGAAAATACGGCGGCAGTGGGAGGGGAACTGGGGCAAGGGACACGGGTGGATTGTATTGTATTGCATTATTGTATTGTTTTATTTATTTCTGAGACGGAGTCTCGCTCTGTCGTCCAGGCTGGAGGGCAGTGGCTCGATCTCGGCTCTGCAATCTCCGCCTTCCGGATTCAAGCGATTCGCCTGCCTCAGCCTCCCAAGTAGCTAAGATTACAGGCGCCGGTCACCACGCCCGGCTAATTTTTGTATTTTTGGTAGAGACGGGGTTTCACCATGTTGGACTGGCTGGTCTTAAACTCCTGACCTCAGGTGATCCGCTCGCTGGATCCAACGTGCTGGGATTGCAGGTCAGCCAATGCGCCCAGCCTGGTTTGCTTTAAATTGGAAGGCTCTGCAGCACGTGTGCAGGCTGAGGGGCATAAACCAGAACACAGGGAGACCGGATGTACGGAAGAGGGAGAGACTACTCACTCGGGCAAAGCTCGCGAGCAGTGGGGGGCGGCCCGGGCAGAAGCAGAGTAAAGGAATACCCGACTGCGCTCGGGCCCGCAGCAGACGTCATCGGAGCCACGGGAGAGCACGGCGGCCCGAGGGTCAATACCCAGCTAGAAGAGAGGGCGACGGCTTCCGGGAGGAAGTAACCTTTGTGCTGGGCTCCCGAGACTAGCTGAGAGGGAAGGCGACTGGCGCGCAGTACGGGACAGGCGGGTCACTGAGGCAGAGCGAGCCGCCGCTCCCGACTGCGGTTCAACTTACATCTTGTCCTTCTGGTGCTGTCGCTTCCCCATGGCGGCGCGGCGGCGGCGACGACTAACGAGCACGAAAAAGCAACGGCTGACAACTCAGACCATGGAGCCTTGGCAGCGTTCGGTGACCACTTCCGGGTTTCGCGGCCCGCCCCGGAAACGGAATCCCGGCGTGCCGGGCCCTGTTGTTCGCTAGCGCCAGGTGCGCATGCTCGGAAGAGTCGACAGCCTAATCTGGGCCTCTGGATGTGCCTTCTCCCGCTGGCGCCTTCCCAGGACCGAGCTCCCTCAGCCTTGAGGCCCCATCTTCTCTAGGGGTCTCCGTCTGGACCGCCTCGTTTACCCGCCCAGCGACGGCTCAGGGCCATTCCCATATTGAGTTCTCAGGTCTTATTTATGTATTAATTTTCGAAACAGGATCTCGCTCTGTCGCCCAGGTTGGAGTGTTGTGGCGAAATCACAGCTCACTACTTCGTAAACCTCCCAGGCTCAAGCGGTTCTCCCACCTCAGCCTCCCGAGAAGCTATGGGCACGCACCGCCACACCCGTCTAATGTGTTAACTTTTTGTAGAGACAGGCTCTTACAATGTTGTCCAGGCTCGTTTGGAGCTCCTGGGCTCAAGCAGTCCTCCCATACTGGCCTCCCAAAAAGTCCTGGGATTACAGGCCTAAACTTCCACACCCAGCCAGCGCTCAGGTCTTTTCCAAAGTCCTCCTGGAGCCTCATGTCCCATGAGCCTCCACTCCATCCCTTGCCGCCTCCGCAGCAGACACCTTCAAAGTTATGTCCGCCCTCCGTGTCTACGCGCTCACTTCTCATTCTCCCTGCACATTGGGTCCCCACCGCCTCGAGGCCCCTCACAGGCCCGGCAGCAGGTGGCCATCAAGCCTAGAGGTCCAAAGCCCTGCCTGATTCCTTCTGTCTCTTCTGCTAGACCCTTCCCTTGGGCCCCTATCTACACTCAGGCCCGGCATGATCTGGCCTAGGCTCCTAATTTTTCTTTTTTTCCTTTTCTTTTTTTTTTTTCTTTTGAGACAGAGTCTTGCTTTGTCGCCAGGCACCAGGCTGGAGTACAGTGACCCAATCTCGGCTCACTGCAATCTCCGCCTCCTGGGTTCAAGCAATTCTCCTGCCTCGGCCTCCCTAGTAGCTGGGACTACAGGCACGCACCACCATGCCCAGCTAATTTTTGTATTTTTTAGTAGAGATGGGGTTTCACCATGTTGGCCAGGATGGTCTCGATCTCTTCACCTCGTGATCTGCCCGCCTCGGCCTCCCAAAGTGCTGGGATTATAGGCGTGAGCCACCGCGCCCAGCCTCTCCTGATTTTTATTTTCTTTTTTTTTTAAAGACAGGGTTTCACCATGTTGGTCAGGCTGGTCTTGAACTCCCGACCTCAGGTGATTCGCCCGCCTTGGCCTCCAAAGTGCTTGGATTACAGGCGTGAGCCACCATGCCCGGCCTCCTAATTTTTCTTTCTTCTTTTTTTTTTTTTTTTTAAGATGAAGCGTTGCTCTGTCACCCAGGCTCTAGTGCAGTGGTGCAATCCCAGCTCACTGAAACCTCTGCCTCCCAGGTTCAAACAATTCTCCTGCGTCAGCCTTGTGAGTAGCTGGGATCATAGGTGTGTGCCACCATGCCCGGCTAATTTTTGTATTTTTAGTAGAGGTGGGTTTCACCATGTTGGTCAGGTTGATCTATAACTCCTGACCTCGTGATCCACCCTCCTTGGCCTCCCAAAGTGCTAGGATTATAGGCCTGAGCCACTGTGCCCGACCCTAGGCTCCTAATTTTAAATGCCACTTGTATCCCGTGACTCCCAATACTAAGTTGCCAGCACTCCAGGCTCCTGATCTCCACTTGGGTAACCACTGATCTCAAATTTAACATGTCTAGCTAGGGGTGGTGGCTAACGCCTATAATCCTAGCACTTTGGGAGGCCGAGGCAGGCACATTGCTTGAGTCTCAGGAGTTCAAGACCAGCCTGGTCAATATGGTGAAACCCCATCTCTAATAAAAAATACAAAAAAATTCACAAGGAATCTTCTATTGATGTGTAAGAAAAAGAAAAAAATAATCCAAAAAAAAAAAAGGTGTGGTGGCACATACCTGTAATTCCAGCTACCCGGGAGGCTGAGACAGAATAGCTTGAACTGGGGAGGCAGAGGTTGCAGTGAGCCAAGATCAGGCTGCTGCACCCCAGCCTGGGTGACGATGGACTCTGCCTAAAAAATAAATAAATAAATAAATAAATAAATAAATAAATAAATAAAAATAAATAAGTTAACAATGTCTGGTCAAAGCGAAATTTTCAATCCTCCCTCTTCTCCCACTCCCCACTCTGCTGAGCAGTACCATCATCCACCCAGTCACCCAAAGCCAGCTATCCTTGCCTTATTTCATGGCTGGCTTCTTTTTTTTTTTTCATGAATATATTGTTTGTATTTCTTTAAAAAGCAACAAACTTCATGCTTTGAATATTTTATCTTGAGAATAGTTTTAAGAATATTTCCTTTTGTAACATTCAAAAGTAAAACACACATACATGATTCCATCAAGGATTCTCTGTATGATTAATGTTCTGTGCTTTCCTAAGAATAAGTCAAACACGGCCAGGCGCGGTGGCTCACGCCTGTAATCCCAGCACTTTGGGAGGCCGAGGCGGGTGGATCACGAGGTCAAGAGATCGAGACCATCCTGGTCAACAAGGTGAAACCCCGTCTCTACCAAAAATACAAAATTTAGCTGGGCATGGTGGTGCGCGCCTGTAGTCCCAGCTACTCGGGAGGCTGAGGTTGGAGAATTGCTTGAACCCAGGAGGTGGAGGTTGCAGTGAGCCGAGATCCTGCCATTGCACTCCAGTCTGGGTAACAACAGCGAAACTCCGTCTCAAAAAAAAAAAAAGTCAAACATGACCACATCTACATTGGAAAGAGCATTGAGAAGCAATAGCAGGAGAATGCATCACCTGTGTCTGTTTCAGGATTAGCAGTTTTGTTAAGTTTAGCAGATCAATGTAACAACAATGATCACTTGTTTCCAAATACCCAGATGTTTCTCACTGGCTCTTCACTCATCAATTACACAAGTGCTAAGTCTTAAGTTAAAAATCAAAGGCCTGCAGGTGACTTTTTCCTTCTCTTTGGTCCCTTTACCAAAGCCCTAAATCACTTATAACGTTAATAACAATTCCCCGCACTCCAAAAAATCTACAAACACAGGTTTGCTAAATTTTACTTAGCAAACCTACCAAATTTTAAAATAGATAAAACTTACATTCTCATAACACAAACTTTAGTTTTCACATTCATTAAAACATTTTAAAATCACGCAAATGTGAGAACTGGAAATATGTGTGATTATTGGGAGAGGACTACTGCATTTATTTTCCAGAAGAAAAAGCAGACCTGAGGCATCACATTACTGGAATATTTAAACACAATGACATGTTTTTATCTTCTTTTTTTTTTTTTTGAGACGGAGCTTCACTCTTGTTACCCAGGCTGGAGTGCAATGGCGCGATCTCAGCTCACCACAACCTCCGCCTCCTGGGTTCAGGCAATTTTGCCTCAGCCTCCTGAGTAGCTGGGATTACAGGCATGCGCCACCATGCCCAGCTAATTTTTTTTTTTTTTTTTTTTTTTTTATTAAAGACGGGGTTTCACCATGTTGACCAGGATGGTCTTGATCTTTTGACCTTGTGATCCACCCGCCTTGGCCTCCTGAAGTGCTGGGATTACAGGCTTGAGCCACCGCGCCCGGCATTCTTATCTTCTAAACTTCAATGAAAATTGCTTGTACAAACTATTTAATGCATATCTGCCTATGAAACAAGCAAGATGTCTGATGTAGTAGAGAAGCCAGAAGCTCAGTCACTTCATTTCTTTCTGTTGCCTCCAGTTGCTAGCATAGTTGCAACTCGCATAAATATATTTAATGTATCCATGTAGGTTCCCAGCATTGAGTTAACGGGATCATATTTTTGAACTCCGTACATTGGTGATACTTCTGCACGCCTGATTACCTTCTGGGTATCATACAGAAGGAACATGCTGAAAAAAACTAATCCACCATACATTGCCACTGAGTACAGAGTGGCACCAGCCACACTGGTAGGTGGAAGAAACATAGATCCAAGTGAGAACACAAAAATGAGATCCAGGCCCACTCCCAAGGGTGCACCCATGTTCAGAAACTTTTTACTGGGTACGCACATGGCCACAGTGGAGAGGCCTCCCACAATGCCAGCTGTGTACCATGCAGCTCTGATGAGAAGAGGACCCCCTAATATCGTCAGAGGAGCAACCACTGCACCCATCACACCAGAATGTAGCAACCAAACAAGACGCTTTGGGCCTGGGCTCCAGTCATATAGTATTGATTGTACCAGCATTCCAGCACCAATCATGGCTGCAAAGGTCACACCAATTGTCACCCAAGAGCCTTTCATCATAAAGTTCTTGAGAACAGGCGTTCTGCTTATTGCTATGGCAGACAAAGCTGTTAAACCAATACTTCCTGCAGAGTACATATAGGTGGAATGAATTCTGTCCTTCACATACTGAGGCCAAATTACAGCCTTTTCAAGAGCTCCAATCTCATTAGACATTCCCAAGCCATAGTAGCACAATGCTCCAAGACCAACAGCAGCTCCTCCAGCAACAAATCAACTTCCCATCTGATCAATTTTAAATATTTTTTCCATTGATGGTTCCAATGCTGCCTCTTTGAGTTCTTGGCCAGTTCTCCCACACCGGATCCCAATTCTTGTTTTGGTGGCATATTCCCTGCTGGGTGTTAACAGCCATTGATTCTTCATGATGGAATTCTTCGAAACAGGGGAGGCCTTGGTGAAAGCTGAATGGAAAACCCTAGAAGGTAGTGTCCAGAGACACACAAGCCTTGCAGCCAGCATGGTGTTGCACCAGGTCTACCAAACAGATCTGAAATGCTCAGTCCCCAGTCACCTCTGCCTCGCAGTTTCCCTTCCGGGCCAGCGAAACACGCACTCCACCACCTCCCTGGTCCCACGCATGCTCCTCCATGGCTGCCTTCTTATTCTCTAGGTTGTCACATAAGTGTCACCTCCCCAGAGAGACCTTTCCTGACCACCCACTTCCATGCATCTCCTATAGAGTTTGTCGCAATTTGTCACAATCTGTAATC